GCCTTTACTTTCCATGTGTGTCACTTTAGTAATACCAGTAGGGGAAAAAAAACGATGCGGATGGAAACCAGTGGAAGCTGGCATCCCTGGGTGTGGCCAACAGTGAACAAAATGCCTTGTGGGTCATACAGAACCCTGATGGGATGCATGCATTCTGTGGTCTACAGATTGCCTATAACTGCCTTATGGGGTGACACATGGGGCGCATGAAGAGTCACGTGTCCCCCCCCCAAATGCAGTCGTAGAGAGGGAGAAGGGGCCAGCAGCCAAAACAGAACCTTTGGATATTTCGGGGAAACCATCCTGGGCCCCGTACTTGGGGCCATCTTACCTCAGGGAGGAGGGAGGGAGGCGCCTCCTGCTCTGCCTTCTCCTGCCACCACCTTAGCCCAGTGCTGCCTCTGGGCAAAATCAGCAGCCACGGCTGCCAGAGCTGAAGCCAGCTGCTATGTGGTGGCGAGCAACCACAAACAGCCAGCTTCAGTGGCCTGGCAGCCGGCGGTTCACAGCCAGCACTGGTCTGCAGCCCAGCAACTGGGAACTGGTGTCCTAGGGAACCTTCAGCTTGTGTATCCCAGCAGTGCAATGACTGGCTAAGCAGTCCAGCCTGAGGTCACAATCAGGAGACTACAGCACATTGTGTAGTAACCTAGAGCTGTGTCCATGTACTTGCCTCTATGACGAAAACCCAATCGTGCTGTTAACTTGCAGGGCAATAACTTTCTGCAACAAACCTTAATTCCTTTGGTGCATCATTGCTCTTGGGTTATATGTACTCACCTGACTTAAAGTAGTAAATACCACGGGCCCTAGATTGTGGAGGAATTGAGTGTGGGGTCAGTAATACACATCTGGTAGTGACTGTCCATGTATCCTCATCATGGAAGTTCTGGGCTCCATTTAGGAATCCCAGTCATGGAGCAAGGCCCATTGCATTTGGTGCAGAACAAAAGGATGGTTCCTAAACTCACATTGCCACACAACGGTTCTCTAGTTCACAAGCAAGCAAGCAGCTCTAATGCAAATGCAGAGAGTTCATAAAATGGAGTAGCTGGCTGGTTTTAAGAGCTGTGGGGCAAGATGTACTGATTGTGGTTTGAAGTTGTGTTTAATTTTTGTTTTCTTTTTTCCTGACAAACACTAATGTTGAAAAAAGTCTCAAGAGGTAGCCCTGTTAGTCTTTAAAAACAACAAGCAGTCCTGTGGTACCTTAAGGTATGTCTACACTGCCACCCTAATTCGAACTAGGGTGGCAAATGTTGGCATTCGAACTTGCAAATGAAGCCCGGGATTTAAATATCCTGGGCTTCATTTGCATGTTCCTGGGTGCCGCCATTTTTAAATGCCCCATAGTTCGAACTACCTGCCTGTGGCTACATGCGGCACGGGCTAGGTAGTTTGAATTAAAGCTCCTAATTCGAACTACCGTTATTCCTCGTGCAAGGAAGGAATTTACCTTTATAAATTTACCCTTATAGATTACTAAGGGTATGTTTACACTTGCACCCTAGTTCAAACTAAGGATGCAAATGTAGGTGACCGAAATTGCTAATGAAGCAGGGATTTAAATATCCTGCGCTTCATTAGCATGATCTCGCCAGCGTGGTACTCACTTTCGAAACAGTTGTTGAGCGGAGTACCGTGCCAGCGAGATCATGCTAATGAAGCACAGGATATTTAAATCCCTGCTTCATTAGCAATTTCAGTCACCTACATTTGCATCCCTAATTCAAACTAGGGTGCAAGTGTACACATACCCGAACATAATAATCAGGTCTATTACAATTGCCAGGTGAATATGAACTGCTGGCTCATGGCTTTAATTTGGAAATAATTAGTTGTTTGTTTATTTCTAAACAAACAGAAAAAGCATCTATTTAAATAGCCTGAGGCATATGATGTGTGTACGTCTGAGATATGATCTCTCCTCCACAGTTGCATGTTGAACTAATCCTCTAGGCTCACCATGAATGAGTCTTCCATTGAAGGCAATGGGAGTTCCAGAGAGGGGACACTTAATTCTTACTTTCTTATTTAGCATTTAACCTTGGATGGTACATCTAATAAGGTTGTGAGGTACAGAATCAAATTTCAAAGTGCTGATGACTTTCAGAGTGATCCAGGACTTGGAGCTATGATAATATCAAGAAGAAAAAAAACCAATTTAAGACACTGTGCTGCTGGATTGTTTTTATTTTGTTTCATGTTTTAAATCGTAAAGTTAATTTAGAACTTAATCCTGCATTACTTCCACATGAGTAATCCCGACTAGTGATGACAGAAATTTTGCATGCAAAACAACAACAGGACTGATTTCTTAACAGCTCTGCCTAATGAGAGATTTTTAACTTCAAGATAATTATGGTGAGAGTAATTGGCAACCATTTGTGCACAGCAGAGTTACTTGGTTTACAAGTCTGATATTTTAATTTCACGGGTCAGTAGAAGGTTTTCATTCATTTACTAGAGCTATTCACTTCTGATCTGATATCATAACAACTTTGAAGCTCTTAGCAACTGCATTTTCAAAACAGCCAGGCCACCAAAAGTGCTGAAGTTGTAAAGATGGGACTAATTATAATATGAGTCATGCCTCTCCCATTGAGTCATACATTTTTTATATGTAGAGCCAATATTTATGTGGAGTTTGTAAGAAGTAGTCCTGTATCACTCACAATATTTGGAAAGGGTATACAGGCAGTCCCCGAGTTACGCGGATCCGACTTATGTCGGATCCGCAGTTACGAACGGGGCCGTTCCTCTCCCTGGTCTCCAGCAGACCAGGGAGAGGAAGCAAAGCAGCGGAACACGTGGGCAGCGGACAGGGCTGTCCGCTGCCCACGCGCTCCGAGGCTTGGCTCTGCTTTGCCCCCCGTCCCCCGTCCC